ATCCTTCAATACTCGGTTATAAATAACTGTGGGTTATTAAACGGGCTCTTTTATTTGAGTCAATTTATTACATTTGTATTTTGAATCTTTTTCTTTAAACCTGCACGGAAGCTGAGGCGGATTAAAATAAACTCAAAACGTGTGACAGAGTCCGAGCTTCAATAATTCAGAGGCAGGAAGTCTCCTCCGTCTGCGCCTCTACTGTTTTTATTTCCAGAATACGACCTGAGCGACAATGACGCAGCAGCAGTCCGACAGATTTGGGACAGAACTTTTTATTAAACATTATGAAAACAAGATTCTCAACAACGTTCCACTTTGTAGGTTTTTCACTTGTCGACACGTTAGGACACGTTCATTGAATAAATATAGAAATCATATGTACAGATATACATTGACAGCACTGGGCAGAAGTTCCATCTCCCTTCATTGAGCGCAGTCGAATTTAAATCAAAACGTTTCCAGGAGGTTTCAGGAAAATTTACAATTCGAACCCAAACAATTTAAATAAACTAAACTTACAAGAGGGAATTTGTCGATTTGTTTTTTTTTTTTTTTTTTTGAAGATTATTTCTAAATTGATCGTAATTTAATTTTCACATTTCCGGCTGCAATTAATAATAACATCGAATCTCTTTGAGGATTTTTCTGGTTGTTTTTTCTGTGCGTTTCGTTTTTGAATTTCTCTCCTCAGCCTCCAACAGGTGGAGCGAGCACCGCGCACATCTGCACACTATTGCACATATATCTGTAGGCAGCAGAGAACCACACGAACCAGGGAGGTTTCCTTCATGTGCACAGACTCTGCAGGGACAGTGAGCTCCAACCAGCGCGCAACAGCTAACCAGCATCAGGACACAGGATCTTATTATTTAAGACACGGAGCTGCAGAATAAAACCCACAGGCCCCGAAACGGGTTCCTCTACAAATATATTAAAGTAAAAAAAACAAACCAACAAACAAACAGAATCGTTAAACTAAGTCTTTTTGAAATCATCAGGTTGGTGCATAGAGTTTTAGCAGCGAATGCAGTTCATGTCCATCTAACAAACGAGATTTTCACCTCATCCAATTTACATCCAGCTTTTTCATATTCTGCAGTGACACATCAGAAGGTTCCTATAAGAGTAGAAAACAAAAGGTTTGATCTCTTCTTAGTGCAGTATAGGCCTTTGACATTACACATGTTCAGCAGGAGGAGGAGGAGGAGGAGGAGACCATAGACGATAGATTTGCATGCTGTAACATACAAACATTTTGTATTAAGACATGTCGAAGAATCCAAGCAACAAAAGCAGTTGTCGTTAAAAAGAGAGAAGGTAAAATAACAGAGTTAACTGCTCTTCTCTACACATTATGTACAGGTGGAAATAAATACAGAATCTAAAATCTGGCTCAGTTCATCTCTTTTTGTCGTTTTTCTCTCTTTTTCTTTTTTAAAACAATAGAAAAGTTGATTGAAAATAGCAGTTTAGAGACGCATCCAGTTCTCAGCAGTAGCAGATTGTTTCTCAAGTCCTTTACACCTCTCAGGGTTGTGTGTGTTTTTTCTTCTTCTTATTTAATGGAGGAAATATTTTTGGTGGCTTCTTGCATACCCAGGCCTTACTAATGTCAGAGGAGGAGGAGGGAGGGAGAGAGGGAGGATGAGAGGGGGGAGGAGGAGGAGGAGGAGAGAACCATGGGCCATGCGTTCCATACATGTGGAGGGGTCGTGGGAGATGACTGGAGGTTACCATACATGTCCTGCATGCAGGGTTGCAAAGGGGGATGGGAAACTATAGACTTGCAATATTGAAAAGTCTCTCGTGTGCAGGACAGCGCGCCTCGGACGCACAGTCTGCTGGAGGCGGTGTGTCGCTTCTTCTCCTTCAGTCCGATATAGAAAAACACATTCTTCCTCCCAGTGTTAAGACAAAAGCATCTCTCTCTCTGTGTCTCTGTCTCTCTCTGTCTCTGGAGTGAGACAGTCATGTCCCAGGACAGTGATCCCATGTGTCCACGTCACCACACGACAAGTTTTAACCACAAACATCTTTAAGACTCAAAATGCGCACAAGGATTATTTTGTGCGCACTCGCTGCTCGTGCGTCCAGATGTGTTTGTTGTTTGAGGGAGAAACTGTAAACAAAAATACAAACGCAGTTTAATGTCATTAGGGTGTGTGTGTGTGTGTGTGTGTGTGTGTGTGTGTGTGTGTGTGTGTGTGTGTGTGTGTGTGTTGGGGGGTGTTCAGAGTCTGTGCTGCAGATCTTCAGTCTCTACATGAAGAAGTCGGTGCTCCCCTGTTTCCCGGACGGATCTCTCGTGTTCCCGGGCCCGCCGGTGTTGTAGGTCCGGGTGGCGAGCTTCTCGTACTTCTCCTTGTAAAGATCCCGCTCCTTGGCCAGACGCGCCACGTCCTGCTTCAGCTGCTCCACCTGGCTCTGCAGGGTGCACTTCTCCGTCTCCAGCATGTGCCGCTGCTGGACGCGCTTGAAGCGGCAGGACTGCGCGTAGCCCCGGTTCTTCAGGGTGCGCCTCTTCTGCTTCAGGCGGATCACCTCCTCCTTGCTGAAGCCCCGCAGCTGCCGGTTCAGCTCCCGCACCGTCATGCTCACCAGCTGCTCGTCGGAGAAGCGGTCCTCCAGGCGGGCGTGGTGGCCGTGGTGGTGATGGTGGTGGTGATGGGCCTGGTGGTGGTGGGCCGCCGAGGCCGTGGACAGGTCCTCCCCGACGTACTGCTGCCCGCGGAAGCCCTCGTAGGCCTGATGGTGGTGGTGATGGTGGTGCGCGTTACCGATGAGGGCCTCCACCGCGTCCTCCGGGGTCAGGTTGAGCGCCTCGGGGTTGATGTGGTGCTGGTAGCTGGGGATCCAGTACAGGTCCTCCAGCTGAGGTTTGCCCGCGTTGCTGTGATTGTTGTTGCTGCCGCTGTTGTTGCTGCTGCCGCTGCTGTTCACCCCGCTGGCGAGGCTCTGGTTGGGTTGAGCACCCGGGCTCGGTGCGCAGAAGCTGGGCGAGGAAGGCACGGAGGAGCAGGGTGTGCTGATCGGGGTGGAGGAGAGGGAGCCGGACGGGAGGCGGTGGCAGTAGCGGTCGGCCTCCGGTGGCTCCTTCTTCACCTCAAACTTCATCAAGTCAAAGTCGTTGACGTACTCGATGGCCAGAGGGCTGTTGGGCAGCTCTGCGCTCATGGCGAGGTCGGTGGCCATGTCAGTCCATGCGACGACTCCTGCCCTCACAGCCAAACCGACGGCAGACGGCCCTCTCGGATACAGATTGCGAGGAGGAACCACAGCCTGTATGGTGTATATATAGACACACGCACACGCCCGGTGCGCGGAGCTGCTGCAGGGCCGGCGGGTGGGTGGAGAAACTTATTATGGCTGCTCGTCCCTAAGACAACTTCTATATATAGTGGCGTGAATATACGTATGCATGTAAATGAACTTGTACACCTGCCAGTCTGCCTCCGCTCACTGCTCTTGTTGACAACTTATCCCAGGTCAAATGCACGCTTTAATACCAGGAGCCCCCGGGGCGGCTGAAACTCGAGTCTGGTGAATTTGGAGACACCAACCTGTCTTGTCCTCGCTTCACCTCTGCAGCCCACTTGCCTCCAAGTGATTTAATGTCCTTGCTTCTGCTCGCTCCACGTAACGCCACAAGATTTTGTCTCCTCCGCTCGGTGCGTCACAAATATTCTCCAAGCATCCTCCTCCGGCTCTTGTTGTTCACAGCGTTATGGTGAAGTCCCGGGCAGAGTCACTGCAGCATGGCCCGGAGGGAAAGTTTCTCACACAGTCACATTAGACGGTGTGCGGCGGCCACAGGGCGCAGCGCAGGCGTGCGTAAAAGTGTGCCAAAAGTTCCAGGAATCCCAAACGGAATGGCGCGTGCAGAAGTTTTCAGAGTTCACACGGATCAGAGATGAATCTTTAGCTGCAGAACAGTTTAGCAGAGTCCGCTCTCCCGCTGCTGTGTTCAGGTTCGATCCCCACGGTCCTATCCACCCCTTGTTGGGGTTGTTGACTGTGTGTGTGTTTTAAATTCCAGATGCTTTCTCTCTAACGACCTTCACTTCGCTTCTGAGAACCTCACGGTGCAATCACGTAGTGTCACTGAGGCGCTGGACGGCAATCTGCACTTATAAAGACGGCGTGGACCCCACTCCGCCGACCCTCCCACACTGAGGTGCGACGGACCAATGGGAGGAGATCTCAGAGGCGCATTTGCATCCTCCTATAGCGAGAAGCCCCAGCGTGGAGCAGCGCACAGCCGAGCGGAGCCGAGCGGGGCCGAAGTGCGCGGAGCTGCAGCAGCAGCAGAGAAAACAGGTGCAGCAGATCCCCCCCTCTAGTGACCGAGCAGCTGCAACTGCACGGGGAGAGCGGAGTAAGACGAGAGCCCCGGAGGTTTCTCAGAGAGAGAGAGAGAAGGAGAGAGAGAGCGAAGGAGAGAGAGACGTTTACTGGGAAGAGAAACACGTCAAAACCGGGTGTGAGTTATGTAATGACAGTGTCCGCGTGTCTTCAGATTTCAACTGTGCATCAACACATCTTAACATTTCTATAGACGCTGAGAAGTCATTTGGTTTGGACTCTTTAAGGATTTCTGTGAAAAGACTTTAAATATTATATATATTTTACTTTCACGTTTTCAACCATATGTTAGATACGTGTTGTGTTTATGAACACGTACAAATGTGGTAAATAAAATGGAAGTAAACAGAGTTTGTCATAAATCAGGAAAGGTTTCACTAGAATATATAAAGTCTTTCCAATAATCAAATGTTCTTTGACCCCTAAAAAAAAATAAACCTGAAAATGTTGAAATGTAATGTGGATTAAGTTGACTGGTCCCGTTTAGGGACAGTTAAATCAGGTGGTGCGCAAGCGTGCGTAAAAGTGTGCCAAAAGTCCAAGGAAACCAAACTGGAATGACAAGTTTTCAGAGTTCAAAGAACAACTGCAAGAGTAAAAGAGCTCATATAAAAATATATGATATAATACAATGGAGGGTAAAACCAAATCAGAAACAAGAGGTTTGAACGGTGGTGACTCTGAAACCTTTTTTTTTATTGGCTTTATTAAAAAGAACTTATTGTTTCCACCTGACTCTGAAGAAGCCACAGACCAAATCTATCAATCACTGATCGATCGAAAGCCACGCGCCCCCGTTTGCCAAAAATCAATCCGCATTTCCGCGAGGCTGCTCGGAGGCCGCGCTGTGGCTGCGCGCAGGGTTAAGTATGATTGGATGGTCCCGGCGGTGGTCTTCAGGGTTTTCATTCGCAATTAACCACAAATTGGATCCAGACTCATCCCCGCGGATCGACGGGTAATTAAGCCCCGCCGCGTGCGTCTCCGAGCCGGACACACTGAAGCCTGATGCGTCTGCTTTTTTTTATCCCGGGGTGAGAAGCTTTTAAGGGGCAGAAAAGAAAACCGGAGCGGGGGGTTTGAGCAGGATGTCGATAGAATAGCGGTGATAAGTGTCCTACCATGGGAGCAGATCTTAGACCGGGACACCGATGCACCTGACCCGCCTGGCCTCTCCAGCAGGGGACGCCCCCCCAGAGTCCCATCCACCCGCAGATATGAGAGTGATGCCTCTGCGGAAACAGAAAGTGCCTGCGGTGAGTTTAACTTGAAATCAGATGTGAACAGGAAAACCAAGTGCTGAGCTTAACTTCCAGTGTGAACTGGCCATGGAATATGTGCCCCTCCCCCCCATCCATCCCTCCATCCCTCAAATCTGCTGGGCAAGATGAAAAGAAGAGTAGGAGATGAAGGGATGGAAATCATATCAAGGTATTTTAAGTTTAGGTAAGCTAAGTCATTAGAAGAGGGTTTTTCCATCACATAGACAGGAACTGGCCGAGCTAAGCAGTCTGCATTGAAACGGCACATTTAAGAAGATCTGCTGTGGTCCATTCATTGTCAGGGGAAGGGGAGTGTCTGCGGCCGAGGGCTTGAGACATAAATTTTTGATGTCAGGGTTTTCATTGTGCCTTTGCATATTGGGACTTCGCTGCAAGTGCAGTTCTACCGATTTAAGCAAAACGGACATCAGCAAGGTGGAGGATCGACGGTGGGCTTTGAGCGGGGCCGCGAGGCGAGCTCTGAGCCAAGCTAGCCAGCATCCAGGGTAAGAAAAGGCCGGCTCCAGGAGGTGGCTCAGGGTTATCTGAGGCCCGGAGGAGGGTTTCTTTGTCAGTGTGGTTAAGTCTCTAATGCCGCTGTGGAGGAATCAGCTGTAATTGTGCAGAGATGTGGGACGCATGCACGCGCACGACGGTGAAAGTAAGACGGAGGCTTACTTTAGTAATCAGGCGTTTCACCACATGTGGGAGGAATCGCACATAGACATCATGTTTGTTCACCAGGGTGATGAAAGGGCTGTGGTTTTAGAGACGCAGAAGAAGTGACGACAGTGAAGCTGAAAGGAGATTTAATGATAAACTATGATCAAATTTACTCACCAAAGTAAAAGCTGAAATCTGAGAACAGTGACAGTGTAGAGGCTGAAGACGTCAGGGCCTGAAGACTCAGTGGAGCCTGTGTGGACAAGTTTCCACCAACATTTACAGAACATGATTTCACATGCGTCCGTGTCCAATTAGAAACAGTGTTTTACTCACCTGATTTCCACACGTTGATAAAGATTCCAATTCCATAATCTGTTGGCGACTGGACCAGGAGCAGAGATGCTGTCGTTGTCTGGAGGTTGTCTCCTGCTCGTCTGAGCCGACGTGGATGAAACTTAGTTCTGACCCGAGCTGAAAAACACATGATTTTATCTCCCGACAGCAACAAGGACCCAGAAAAACTGATCCAGTCCTTCATCGGCCGTCTGACACACCTGAAACGTTAAAGTCGATCATTGCAGAGAACAAGCGCAGACGATCCTTGTTTTAACTTTCAAAGGTTGATCAGGTGCAGTTATGTTAAAAAATCCGAAATTTAATGCTGGTGAAAAGTTATTTACTGTTTACTCTGCATTCATTCGATAGAGAGCGAAGAGCAGACAGGAAACAGGGAGTCAATGACACGATGCAGTACATGATTCAGCCAGTAGTCGAAGCAGGAACCTGCAGCTCGAGGTGTCTGCACATCTGGTAAACTTCCCAAACATCTGGCTACCATGTATTTAATATGTTTAGCTCATCGGGATAAAGGTCAAGAAAATGGCAGAATAAAGAAGAGTAGGGGAGAGACATGAAAAACGTAGTATAATAAAGAACCAGGAGGAAAGTCGAAATCAGTTTGAAGCATCTTAAAGTTGCAGTTTATCCGACGCTCCACAAAAACAATAAAAAGGATTTTTATGGTTTAATTCTTTTGTCTCGTTCTTAGAAAAAGTTTTTAGTGTTTGACCAATTTAACCATTCACTTTGTTGCAGGGAAGGTTCTGAGCTGAACTAATCCTTTACAGTCCTTTTGCAATGTGTGTTATTTTGTGTGCAGCGTCATGATCCAACTTGACTGTGGACAAACAATCAACTTTAAACTAAACTTGAAAGTTAATTTATCCGAGGATCTATTCCGGTGAGTACAGAGTTCTAACAAATAAGACTGACGGACGACTCCACAAAATAAGATCCAAGTCGTAAAAAAACGTAAGGTTGAAAAGGAGAAACCTCCTGAGCTGAGCGGAGGATGTTGATCCACACAATCTGCTCAAATCTCTCCGAGTCACACGATGAAGAATCACAGTTGACCTTTCCTTTTGTCTCCATGGACAGATGATTCCTCTCCTTCCGTCTTCTCTCCGTCTCCTGCGCTTTTACTAAAAATTGAAATATTGATCTTAATTAGAGTTTGCCGAGCTCAGCAGCTCGCGTTGAGGGTTTTAGACAAGCGGCAGCAGACATCTGTCTCAGGCACTTATGTCTTCAGCACAGGAGAGGAGCTACGTGGGTGAGGAGGAGGAGGAGGAGGAGAAAGGAAAGCGTGATGAGGAGAGAAGAGTGATGGCCTCCTGTCTCCTGCCTTTTCTGAGAAACGTGTCGAGCTCTCCATCTCCGCTCGCTGCTGTCAATCCATCTGAGGGAGAATGGACCTCAACACACACACACACACAAACATCCATCCTGACAAAACGTACTGAACGGTTTCACGTCGGACGAGACGATCTGGACACGAGTTTCCAAGTTGCTGAACGACCATCACCCGACTCCTCCGTCTTGCTCGAGAATGAAGTTGGAAATGTGTTTGGTAAAAAGCTGATGATTCCATATTTCCCAAAGCTCGAGTCCCACACCCTGAAAACCCGTCTCCTCGTTCTTGAGGACAGTTGTTTCTTCTTCTTTGACATTAAAAAAACCGTCCAGTTGTGACCTCAACGTGTTCCTTCATATTCATTCTTGTTTGTACTTGTGTTCTCGAGAAACCTCATTAGTCACAGCCCAAGTTGTTCCGATGCGAAGTGCACAGCAGAAATAATTCCTGCTGCCGCCCGGAGTGTGATGTGTTTGTCATCTTGGTTGAATAGTACATTAATACTGTAAACGTGAGACTCACATACTCTTAAAGCACACAAACTGTGTATTAATACTTGTATTAGAGGCCTGAGAGCCGCAGAGCAGCGGATGAGTCACACGTCCCATCATCCTCTCTGTTTGTCATGAAGTCATCGATGACCATTATGAAGAATTCATGTAAAAGTGGTGTTTTCAAAATCTTCCCACACTGAAGAATGTTTTGAGTCAGTGATTTTCATCCTGAATGTGTCGGTGAGTAATTGAATAAATTCCATGTGGAACATCTAGATTTAAACACAAATATCTCTTGTCTTCTTTTCTCTTACTTTACATTAGTATAACATTTCTATGTGAAATATGATTTCATGTAAAAATTGAAGGAGTCAAAAATTGAGTTTGAGTTTTTTGTCATTCGATGCCAGAGAAGGTTCCGATCGGAGGAGGGCGCCACAGTATCGAGGTCCCGTACGTATTTGACATAAACTTTTTACTTTTTAGTTTGGTCCATGTCCCAACTGCTAACATGGAGGGAGCTGTCATGTTGTCCATCTTTATTTACAGTCTACTTGTCACGAACGTATTTCGTCTGTGGCAGCAGATCATGTTACATCCGTGACTCACTGTAGACGGACATGAACCACCAGCCTGGCTTCATGTTAAAGTTACCGATGACCCATAATTCAACACTGTGAAAAACCTAACTGTTGTGATTTACAAGTAATAGTTTCGTCCTGAAACATAAAACTTGTATATTGTCTTATTCTTAGAATCAGTGCTGGTTCGTTTCTCAGGGTTTTTACCGTTAGTTGGGTTTAATCTGTGCTCAGGGAAACATGGTGAGGATGAAGTCACTGTACACTCATGGGTCTCGTCTCCAGGACTCTGCTTGCTACTGTCACCACCTCTGATGAAAAACCCTCTCAGACACGCTCCGGCTATATGAGGACTCACACACGACAGAAACACACACGACAGAAACACACACGACAGAAACACACTCGACAGCCCACAAACACTCACACGTGAAAAAGAGTCTGCGAAACAACGCACGGTAAGAGTTGATGCTTTATTTGTCTTTTTCTTTGATTTATAAAACCTGATGAGAAATCCTGTGTTGTGTAAACATTCAAACCGAAGTACGTTAAACCTGAAGTGATAAAATCTCGGAGGCCCTGAGTTAAAATAGTTCAGAGGGAAGAGACACAGACCATCAGGACAAACCTGGAGCTCAGACATCTCTGTCGTCTTCGTCTCACAGCCGAGGTTTGATCTGCAGCTTTTTCTCTGACGGAGAAAGACAAGAAGAGAGGAGGAAAAGAGGCGGTTAGAGGAAGACGGCTGTGTGTGTGTGTTTGTGTGTTTTCTTGTGCGTGACTGATCTACTATGTGTTGACTTCTGCTGAAATGCTGACTGACGACATCTCAGCTGACGAGTAAATGAGGAAGAGAGCAAGGATGGACGAAGGTGTGTGTGTGTGTGTGTGTGTGTGTG